AAAGACACAGATATACTTGATTTCGTCGTAATCAGGCGGTGAGGTGTCAGGGAGTGGGCCCCGCTGCTTTCTCTGCCAAGAGTGACCAGTTGATGATTGATTTAGGAAGAAAAAAAGCAGTAGTGGATAGCGTGAGGTGCCGTTTCAGGTCACTACTTCCCCTAACCTAAGGTCGAGGTGGCTAGGAATTTGAAGGAACGGTCCGTGACCTATGAAAACACCAGTTTTTTTCATTTAGGGTTAGGCTGATTTTTTTTTACTAATTTCCCCACTTTTTTTCAATATACGCTAACGTAACTCCGTTTTACCTATAAATTTATTTTTTTTAACTTTAACAACTTTTTTCGTCTTTTTGGTGTTTTGTGTTGGTATGTCATCGCTACCTAGTAAATCGACTCAATATTGGGTAGATCAAAGATCATAAGAATGCCACCTAAAGTACAACGTGCCAAGAAGTCCTCAAAAACCTTGTCCCAACCTAGCCCTAGCTCCAATAGTACAATTAATTCACAGCCTGCTCTATCTGAGTCAGCGAATTTTGATAGTATGTCTGCCATGGAACTGATAAAAAATATTATGGAATTAAATCGAGACCCGGTCATCGAGAACATGCTCATCGCCCTCTCTGAGAAAATTCCCAAGGAGTTTTCCGACTTCCTTGAGAGCAACAAGCGCGACCGTAGTATAGTTATTGCGGGTCTCGATGAAGCACAGGATTCACTTCGCCCATCTGAGCGTCAGGCGGACCTCGAAAGCAAGGTAAACAAGGTACTCGACGCTCTCAATGTGGAATGCCGACCCACGGAAGTCTACCGCATGGGTAAACCACACCCGGATCGTCCACGTCTGGTCAAAGTGCTCCTCCCCTCGAAATCACATTGGCGCCGTGCTCTTGCAAACGCGCGTTTTCTTCGGAATGTTGGACTGCCTCACATCTTCATACGCAGGAGCATGACATCCGAAGAAAGAAAGCGGGAATACGAGCTACGTCAGGAGGCACGTGAACGAAATAGGGGAAAAGCAGTCCGCGAGTGGGTGGTTTACCAAGGGCAGCTCAAACATACGTCAGAACTGCAGCATAAGCGTTCGGGAAACGCCTAACTGTGCACGGTAGCTCAGTCCTAACTTGCTATCTGCTCAATGCCCGTAGTTTGCCCAACAAACTCGACCACCTCCGTGCCTACATCTTGCAATATGAGCCGGATCTTCTGTTCATCACAGAGACCTGGCTCACGGACAATGTCCTTGATGCTGAAATACTATGTAATCTGCCTTACATTCTTCTGCGCCAAGATCGAAAGGACCGTAGAGGCGGCGGAGTGTGCTGTCTGGCCCGAGGCAACCTCTGTGTTCACCCTGTTGAGCGCGTCACCTCAATCAAATCCGATGTTCTTTGCTTGGAAATCTTCTGCCCTCCGAAGGCTACACGCTTCCGATTCGCCGTGGTATATCGCCCCCCGAACTCGACCAGGAGTGAAGACGAAATCCTAGTCGATGTACTGCGAAACGTAGTCTCAGCACAAGCTAACTCCATCATTTTGGGCGACTTCAACCTTCAGGTTGATTGGGAGAAACCTGCGCGCGTTTAACAATGCGTCAGCCGCTTTCTTGGAGTTTTTTCAAGAAAGCGGACTGGTGCAGCATGTTCTTCAACCGACGCACGGCAGCAACACACTAGACTTAGTGTTGTCCACTTCGCGTAGTATACAGGATGTATCGCTTCTACCGCCTTTGGCGAATTCTGACCATGCCTCCGTTTGCTTCAAGTTGCTGGAGGAGTTCAGTAACGCTGTTCTCCTCCCTTCTCCTGATTTCCTAAACGTCAATTACGAATGCCTCAATGATTACCTCTCAAATGTTGAAATGGCTCGAAGTTTTTGATCAATACGACTCTGTGGACGACATATACCGTAGATTCTGCAAGATCATCTACAATGCATTGGCTTTATTCGTTCCTCTGAAGTTCCCTAAGCGTCACCTCCTCAGGTACCCACTACACATTAGAAATTTGCTGACTCAGAAAGAACGCTTATTTCAGGATCTGGAAACCCCAATGAGCAGCCCGCTTTACAGAAAAGTTTGTTTAGATGTAGACCACCACTTAAAGAAGTTTATCTCCAACTTTGAACGTCATCTTGGGAGTCAAGCTTCTTTGAAGCGTCTGCATCAGTACATTCGCAATAAGTTTAAATCCAAGTCATCCGTTCCTACATTGAAGGATCAGTTTGGTTCCATACTCGTCAGCGAACGTGAGAAGGCTGAAGCTTTGGGTAGATTTTTTGCTGGAGTTTTCTCAGCTTCCAGCTCCTCTACTGGCGTTATGGAGGTAAACGATACAGGTAGCTGTCAAAGCGGAAGTTTGGACATTTACTTTCACCCAAATGATATCTACACTATATTAAGGAAACTGAAGCCTTCCCTCAGTGAGCCTTTTGATGGGATTCCCCAAATAGTGTTCAAGAAGTGCCGTGGGTCTTTATGTAAACCACTAGCCCACATATTCAACATCTCTTTCCTTTTGGGTCAGGTTCCCCAAATTTGGAAAGAAGCTATCATAACGGCTATCCCCAAACACTCCGAAGCCAGAGAACTTTGCGACCACAGGCCCATCAGCCTCACCTCCACACCTGTCAAGGTGATGGAGAAAATGATCTTCGTTAAATTGCTAGCTTGGTTCAATCGCCTCAACCTTATTCCTCCCGAACATCACGGTTTCCTACCTGGAGCTTCAACCTGTACGAACCTTCTCGACACGTTGTACGATATATGCAAATCTATCAACCATAGGAAATCAGTGGATATCATTCATCTTGACTTAACAAAGGCTTTTGATAAAGTTTGTCACCTGAAACTGATTAGCAAACTCGAATACTACGGTGTTCATGGTAGACTTCTGGACTGGCTAAAGTGTTACCTACAGGGGAGGAGTATGATAGTTAGGGTGGGGTCCAGCTACTCTGACACATATCCTTGCACCAGTGGTGTTCCCCAGGGTGGAGTCTTATCTCCACTTCTTTTTTTGATATATACCATCGAATTGCCGCAAATCCTCAGAACATGCCCCGGCATACATGTTCAGATTTATGCGGATGACATTAAGATATACTGTGCTTATGATGATGACGATAGGGATGTCATGCGGCGTGCGCTTAAGTTATCAGTTGAACGAATGTGTGAGTGGGCTACAACCTGGGGCATACCACTGAATCTAAGTAAGTGCCTGGTTATGCATATTGGGGACGGTGCAGCAGCCAATTACGTAGTAAATGGTGTAACACTGCCTACCTGCTATTCCACGAAAGATCTCGGAGTTATCTTTGAATCGAACTTGAAGTTTTCCAACCACATTGATTTCATCGTTAAGAAAGCGTTTTCTGCCTTATTTGTCATATTGAGGAATATTCGAAATTCAGACCCGACCATTTTGCTGCGTCTCTACAAGGCGTATGTTAGGCCACACCTTGAGTATTGCTCACAAGTGTGGAGCCCCTCTCTCAAAAAAGACATTATCAAGATTGAGAAAGTCCAACATGTGTTTACTCGGTTACTTTGGAGCAGGTCCAATTCCTGTATTGGTCGATACGATATTCCTGCTTACAGTGTTCGCCTAAAAGCTTTCTCTCTGCGCTCGTTACAGTACAGACGAATTTTGTCCGATTTAGTGTTTTGCTTCCGCGTTCTCCGTAAGGAGGTTAAGCTGACGGCTAGTAAATATTGGAGTTTTAGACCAACCAGTGAAAGGCTGGGTGGATTAAATCTTCCATTACGACTATATCCACTCCAAGAACTATTCTATAATGTTCAATATGATCTTTAATCGTTGCGCAAGATGGTTCGAGCTACTACCCCCTTACGTTCTCCAAGCGGATAACAGCAAAATATTCAAAAGCAGGCTGAGTAAGCTTGACCTCTTGCGCATATTGAGAATACCCGAATTTGTTTAACCCATTCGTTTCTCTTCATTTCAGTCTCAATGTCGGGTGCTTGGGTGTTCATTTTGTGAGGTTGGTGTGCTCGAATTTGTCGGTCTCTTCGCTAATTTCTGCGCAGGATGGTGAAAACCAATACGGAATTGTTGGGCAAACTGTGTATTTACTATCTGACTGAAGCTTTCCGACTATTCTACACCCTTTACGATTTAGATCAGTTGTTTGTTGAGTTCGGCTTTTAAGGTATGTACTATCTATGCCCGATACCTGAATGTAAAGCTGTAGGCTGTCCAAGTTGAGGTGTGTTTTGGTCGATGGCTGCGGACCTGAGTTGTGTTACCAGCTGTTTGATGAGCCTGAGGGACTATGAACCCCTCGCTTGAGGTCCCCCTTGGTTTGTTCGCCTGGGGTCCCGGACGAATTCGTTCGTAACGGGTTAAGTTGTCAGCAAGCCCCAGTACTGTCGTCGAATCCTTGCGTTCAGAACCAAGGACCAGGATCTCGCGGGGGACTCTTTCATCTTCCTAAAGGGGAAAACGGCCTTATTATCAACACAGGGAAGGTTCCGGTGATCTATTCAGTTCAAATTCTAATTCAAAACACAGCCTACTTGCTATCCCGAGTTTAATTAGCTTCAGTTTTAAAGTGGTCGTGTTTGTGGTCTTTGTTTATTTTTTTTGTTGTCTTTGTTATTTTTTTTTCTTTTATAGTGCCTTCCCCTAATTGAGTATGTTTCTGTTTTTTTTCAAGCTGAGTGGCGCACCCTTGGGTGTATATCAATAAATAAATAAATAAATAAAATATGCCCGTAGTTTCATTTTTCTGCGAGCTCAGGCTCGCCCTGGCTCACAATACCCAATCTTGCTGGCATAGCACCACATCAAAAGTCATCCATCAAAAAAAACTCACCAAGTGGTACTATATAGAATAAATGTAATAATAGAGAAATCAGGCTCAATAATCGCATGTTAGACGTTCAACATGGAGGGAGGCAGAAGTCTGGAAATATTGTATGATTTTTCTGAAGAAGAAACTCGAAATTCAAAGAATTTCAACGATCAAAACGAAAAAGCAGTGAGAAAAACCAGAGAAAGCTGTAAAGGAGCCGCAAAGTGGAAATGCACTGGTGCCGAGAAAAGTTCGTTCCCGTGCCGAAACATAATCAATCGTGTGAGGGGAGTTGTGTGAATAAGCAAAAGTGCAGACGTTTTTGACCACGCATCAAGCCAACCATATAATGGAAACCACTAAAAAGTGGAAAATGGGTAAAAAAACCGAGTAATAATAAGAGTCAATACTTCAATAATAACAAGAGTCAATAGTTCAAGGCGGGCTCTCGTACGGGTAGCTGCCATGTTAGCGGGGTGGGGTGTAGAGGCAGAAACGTCAGCTGAATAGAAATCTTTAACAACTTGGAACAAGTGATAGTACTGATAAACTGGTACGGAAGGCGTCCAATTCGCTGAGAAAGTGCTGAAAGTGCTAAGCACCAAAATATTGGAAAAAAGAAAAAAAATTTGCGAAAGCTTCGGCTTCTCTCTGATATTTGGTGTCGCTTGTACTCACACTTCTGAGGGTCCCTTCATGATTTGGTGCAAGGATAAACTCTGGCACCAAACATGAAGGACTCTAAAAACTCTGGAATGAGGGATCAACCTCTCTGGAATGCGCCACGCATTTGACTCCTGTCCAAAAGGGCACCTACTTGGAATGCTCTTCGTAGATCCACCGAGGAAAGATTTTGCAAGTGGGTGTTGTTATGGAAAACATTAGAATCATCCAAAACCAAATAATCTTAATACACCTCCCTAGGGTATTCTTGGGCAACTGCTAGCCAAGGGGTTGTAGTCAAGGAGCTGGTAAGGGGAAGAGAATGGGGATGAAGGGGAGGGGGTCGTACGTGCCACTGGACTAATGCAAGATTGTGGGAAGTATAGTTAGGAATAGCAAGTTTTCAAGGGAAATGGACGTTTTTATATCCCTCGTATTCGAAGAGTCCTCCCCTTCAAACTGAGGGCGTAGGTGTACAAACTTGTAACTGAAGAGAGACTTTATGACAGTTCAGGACAGGCCTGCTGAACGCCGCTTCTTCTCAAGGCCTCAAGGATATGCCTTGATTTGAATGTTATTTGGCCTATAGCATGAGTTGAGAAGCTGGTCTGCGCTGGTCTGCGCACGAGCCAGCGCCTCAATCCCTACAACGATTCTGGTGCCAACTAACAGATGGATGAGGATCGTCTTTTAGGCTTCGGCGCCGATCGATACAGGATTTAATTCTTGTACCACGTATGTGACAGTGGCGCCCCTTGCCATTGTACCGCAAGACTCCCATGAAAACTTGATTTATTTTTTGTTTATTCAATTAAGGACGCAAATATCGATCACGCTGGAGCAGGAACAAGAGCAGAAACAAACAAGCTACTAAAGGAACAGAAACGGAATCTTCCCATTCCCGCATTCCGATTTCCGGTTTTCGCCCAGAGTTGAACCCTCTGCTTCTGCCGGCATTGAATTGTTGTTTTAGGCCAAAAAAGACGCCTTGTCTCTCTTGGGTTTACCGCGATATCTGCAGGGTTATTAGAGGAACGAGATTGCTTCCGTATCACATTACAACTATGTTCTCTACGAGACAAACTGAAAGTGTCATGTTGATTGCAGGGAGAAAATGTGGCCAAGGCTGAGGCTGACCGGCCACTTACAAGGGCCAGTCAGCCTCCAGTAGTTGCTCGAAATCCATCCGGATTACATACCGAATGCTGTTCGAGAAAAGATTCTGCAATTTCACCCTGTACAATCAAAGAGTGAGCCTAGAGGGATGAAGTAGCTCTATAGGCGCCCATTTGGGAACGGTTACGGCAAGAACTAGGATTCCTGACACCGCAGGTCTCCCACGGAGGAAAACATCGCAATGTAGGTTACCATTACGACGTCATTTGGCCGAGGCCAGACCCGAGAGGTGTGCTGTGAGAGGATGTTCAGCAAGTTTTTCTTTGTTTACGGGCCCCTAGATTTGATTTGGCTCACCCTGCAGATGTAATTCGATATAGAAATCTTCAACAAACAGCGGAAAAACAACTTGCAGAAAAAAGGGGCAAACAGATTGAGGGAAAAAGTCCTAACAGGGTCAGGCCCAAGGAATATTTTCCTCTTCTAGAGGATAGATGGACCCCAACGAGGCTCATATCCCTATCAGGATTCCCTGGAAGGGGCGTGAGCCTGCTACCAACTTAAACCAACTCGGCACTAGAGATCTGCAGGGCTGCAAGATCCAAGGATGAGGCTCCACTAGCCAGTGCCGCAAGCCGAGACCCATTACTCTCCACCAACGAAAAACAGCTGGCAGAAACAATATACGTAGGGTGAAAAATGGCGTTATTCTTGTCATCATCGATCTCTAAGCCACGATAAGCTGAATTGATAGTTTCGAGAAACTGGCGCGGCTCACGCAAAGGGACTAATCCGTCTGAGTTCCCTTGGATGCACATATTTGACGTTATCGTTGCCGTCGTTGTTACAGCGATTTGAAAAGCGTTTTCCAAGGACGAACTAATCAAGTGTCTCGGAATCAGAGAGCCCTTGGCAACGCAGGTAAGACGGAAATGAAGCGGAAGGCATGTCACAGCTATCTGTAGATGGAGAGCATCCAAAAGAGCACAATGAGATTCGTCGGAAATCAATCAACAGCCGAGGAAATACAACGAGCCAAATTGCCTCATATAACTATGGACATATTGGAAAAATGCCAGAATCGACAAGATCCTTCGAAAAAAATGAATATACAGAAAGGTAAACTTGGGAAGAATGCCGTGTGATGAGCGAATATTTGAAGGCGCGTGCCGAAGTATTGGCTGGTCTGGAAGGGGGATGGGCGGAGAGCTGTGAGGAGGTTAGCCACCCACCACGGCTGAGGTCATTGCTCCGCCTTCTGTCACCCCTCTACACATATACACAACCGCTCGGCCCGAGTGGATTGTATTACCCTACACCCTTCACTACAACTGGCGGTAAGATGGTGCAATTAGACGCCAGCCCACAATTTCACCAAGCAATCCATCAATGCGCGTAATGGGATGGGAATATGGACTCACGGGACTGTGGTAGGTTTCGGGCACACTTCCACTCAAAAAGTGAAGAGAAAAGGAAAATAGAGAGTAGGAAGATGACGTCTACTACTTTGTTACGAATATCAATATAATAGGAGTTTTACACCTGCTAGAGGAGCTAGGATACATTAACGCTGCCCATAAACCTCATGGAATTGTGCTTTTGATACATATTGAAAACAGAAAAGACCAGGTGAACACTAAATGGAACATCATATTAATGATCAATTTTTGATCCTACATCCAGGAATTGAGAGCCCTCAACAGAAGGCCCACCTAAATGAGCAGGAACTAACCCAAGGAAAGTGCATAAGAACGTGTACTCACCGACATTCACCACCGCAAAAAATGAATAATACAAAAAAGCGTGGTATTCTGCTACAAGCTAGAGAACATCTTGAAATCATAAAGATGGTGCAGATGAAGACCACCACCAGCCCGGAGCTTGAGCCCAATGACCATTAATACCTAGTTTCATTTGCTCTCACAAAAGCCCCACTAAATATGCATACTTAGACAGATATAGCGGATATATGTTCGCTTCCTGTCCAGTGCAGTGTTTTGTAGTTTCAACAATTAGCTTACAAAAGGCTGATTGATAAGCGGCGCCTTATTGGACATCTCTCGGCCCAAGTAGTATAGTGGTTAGTACTCCACGTTGTGGCCGTGGCGACACAGGTTCGATTCCTGTCTTGGGCAGCGTT